TGTGATAGATTGAGACTATGAAGACATTTATAGCATCATTGTATCTCTTTTTAGCGCATTTAGCGCAACGATTGTCTTTGATATTATGACACACTCGTGACGTAATGGCAATCTTAAAACGGTTCTAGTATGTTTGAGTACGATGTTTTTTAGTTAGTAAAACATTCATTTTTTCTGTAGTATTGATTTTATTGCAATAGTAAAATATGCTCACAAATAAACAAATAATTATACATATTTTTAAGTAGGAATTGGTACCTAAAACATAGAAAATAATTTTATGATACCTTTTTCTTCATTTTCACGCCGCCACTGCTAAGGACCCGTCGTATTTTGTCCCCTGTCTTCCCTTTTATTTTGCGGGTGTACATATACTCGCTCATGAAATTTATTATTCCTTTTATTGGTTCTCCGCTGCCATTTTCGGATGATATAAGAGTTGTATACCGAATTTATTACAGACATATCATCGAGGCCATTAGAGATATATTTTCCCCGAACCAAGCGTTGATAATGATTAGCGGTTTGCCAATAAGTTTAGAATTTAGCGAGCTGCAGCTGAGAGAAATTAATTTAAAACAGAATTAAGGGGAACTACCAGAAATTAAGATATTTCATAGTTTATAGATATTGATATATTTTCCTATTCTTTTTTTCGTCTTTCCTTTACCCGGTCTTTTTTGGATGTAGATAATATGAATATTATAGTATTTATATACGTAATATTAAAAAAGTACATAAGTTTAACTCAATTTATTATTAATAGGTGCTTAATTGGACTGTAGATATCATTGTCATATTCTACAATGATGAGACTTTCATTCGAGTATTCCAATAAGAGTGAAAGCATGTAAAAGTTTTTTCAAAAGTGAAAGTATTTGTATCATTACGTTTTATATAAACACTATAAATCAATAGTCAACTATTTATTAACATATCTCAGCTGTACGCTATCACTCTTTGAAACATTTTTTAAATCCCAACTCAAGCAACTTTCTGTGATGGTTTTGAACTTAGGTAACCCTTATTTAGCTTTTTTATACGTTCTCATTTTTACTAAAATAAGGTCAAAAAGACATATTATGTAAGATATGGGCTGTTTAAGTACAATATTAAAAAACTTAGAATAGGCTAAAAGAATTGAAATAATTAATACATAAATAAGGCAAGTTGAAGTTTGGATGAATTGCTATGACATTAAAGTTGTAAATATTGGTAGGATCATGTACATATTCAAGCAATGTATATATGTTGAGTAACCGTAAGTAATATACAGGGTATTTATTTGTATAAATGTGAAAAATATCATACCTGTATCGCTAAATACTTACTCCTTGTCCAGATTTGGCTCTATATGTGCTAAGTTTGTGAATTTTTCAATAAAGCATAATTATATAATTTGAAAAATCAGTATTTAATGATGAACCTCTACAGATCTAGTGGCTGAAAAGTATTTAAATGTAAAAGATTTTATGATTTTCTCAAACAAAAATCGGACTCTACAGATGTGTTCAATCAAAGCCATATCCCAAAAGCACTAGAAAAAATTCACAGATACTGGCCTACTTATACTTATACTTATACCAGTTTTGAAGTAATACTTATTTTTTACTGAACTGTATATGCGCTGTCGGAAATTTTTTCTGCTCCGCCTTATTTTTCTATTTGAGAACTCCATTTTTATCGAAAAATAAGACGGCGCTTCTCGACTCTAACCTTAGTATTTCCTGTTAACTCTAAAGTGACTGTATATTTCGTGTAAATAACAATTTGATGTATGTGTACACTTTTATGAGTGCAATATTATTAAGTCTTGTTGCAAACAAGCAAAGTTTGTAAAAAATTTAGTGTGTTCGTCGCCAACCGCGACCAACATACAGTTGAGCCCCTTTTCTACGAACATTTGCTTTTTGAACTTCCATCCCTTGTACATATACGAACCTTACGCTTATTACTATAAAGTAACATAGAGTTCTACTGTTAGGCTGCTATTGATATGTTAAATAAAGCTATTTCTTATACCTGCTGACTTTTTTATTCACCTCCTACACAGGGGCATCATTTCGATGCCTACTGAAATAACTGTTTAATTTCAAAAAACAAATGAAAGTAACTAGAGCGTTATAGGGGAAGTAGGCGTGAGGAATTTTAAGTATACACAGAAAATTTCTTCCTTGTATACTAACAATTCCTTCTATTATCACAAGTCATATGACGATCACACATTCTGTTGTTAACTCTTAATTTGTCAGGCCTGCCATTGAGTGTGTCTGCACAGAAAAATATGATAGTGTAAATTCAAAGTTATTTAGTCAAGAACTGATTTTAGTTAATATTAGGTGCATACCGTGAAAAACCAATATGGAAGGTTATTAGTTCAACATGATTGGATGTAGACCTGTTTTAACAAAAAAAAAAAATGTTTAGATTTTGAGTGAAAATTTACTCGTTTTTTTACGGTGACGTTTTTGCTCTCACACGGTATGCAGTCAGCGTAGGAAGGCTACAATTCTCACATTATTTCCGAACGCTAAAATTATACTGATTTGCCTTTATATTGCCAGTTCACTTTGTGCATTAGATTTACCTCGGGGAATTAATTACTTAGAAACAACGTGAAATGCAATATGAAAATGGATTATCAAATTTCCCTCTGAAAGCAAATTTTTTGTCGAATGTAATGGTGAAACTTGGTACCTTGCACATATGACGTATAATCCCGATTACTTTGGAAAGGATATAGGAATTATTATAATGAAATGAAATGGGAAATCGAGGATTAAAAGATTAGCAAGTATGAGCGAGCAAGAGAGGATCTACAGAATGAAGTAATAGGAGAATCTCGGGCAAATGTATGCAGCTAGAGGCATTGTTCGAGTTATGTTTTTCAAATGACGTTTAAATTTGCAAGCTGCAATTAATTTGCTTTCAAATGCATTATATTTTGTACCCTTTCCATAATTCATCAAATTTGAATTCCACGCAGATTTGAATATGAACAGTGAAACTGCCTCCCTATTAAGTCACAATAACACCAACATGATATAATCAAATATACAGAAAGTTTTAAGAACAGATATCATAAATTCGAGGGTTAAGGGGCATAAAAAAGGTAAGACATTCACATTTTAAGAGGTAGAATTTTTTTTTATCGAAAATGATATATTTCTAAATCTAAACTAAATTTATATTTTAAAATGTCACTGAAAATATTGCAGCTATATCAGATTTGATTTGCATTTTGTAAAAGAAAATTTAAAAGTCGTCATTATAGACTACAAGCCCATCGGAAATTTTCAAAGGGTCATTTGATCCAGCATGAATTACTTATAAATCAATACTACCACATATAACAATAACTTTAGAAACTATGCCGTCAATACTTATTGGTACAGGTGAGTACACAGGTAAGCTAAACCTGTCCACCAAGGGAGGTGGTTTTCGGCAAAACATTTTTGTACGTCATTTCTAAAGTATATAGGTTATAAAAAAAATGAACCTAGACCTAATGCCGTACAAAAATAGCAATACCAGAAGCCAGGAAATTTTTAGATTTTCTGAATATTTTGGCCCGGTTTTTGTTGATTTACTACAACACGGCATTTATGCCGCAAGTTTCGGATTGACACGTAGATAACATTTTTAGTGACGCCGTACGTATCTGCTGATGCCGTACATTTTTCATGAAACATGTGCTTACTATAGGAAAATTAATTTCCCTCTGAAAGGTAGGATTTCACGGTGAAAAATTTTTGTACGGCAATAATATATTTTGTTAATACTGACAGCAATAATCAACAAAAACAAAATGTCGTACTAAATGGTTCTAAATGGCTTGAAATATAGTTTTGGAAATAAGTATTACTTGCAAGAATTGATTTTATTTTTACTACTATTTTCTCCTTAACACAAATTATTTACTACTGTACGGCCTTTCTGTAATAAGACTTACAATATCATATAGCAATATTTTTCAGTAACGCTGTACATATTTGTCGATACAGGAGTGAGAAACCCCGGATGCAAACCCCTATATTCAGACCCTTATGGTTTCTGAAACAATGGGGACTAAAATAGAGGGTTACGCCATGCATTTCTAACCCCTGTATCAGCAGATATGTACGGCGTCACTAAAAAAGTTATCTACGTATCAATCCGAAATTTGCGGTATTAATGCCGTACTGTAGTAAATCACCAAAAACCGGGCCAACATTTTTAGAAAATCAAAAATTTTCCTGGCTTCCGGTATTGCTATTTTTTACGGCATTAGGTCGAGGTTCATTCTTTTTGTATAACCTACATACCTTAGAAATGCCTTACAAAATTGTTTTGCCGAAATCACCCCCCTTGGTGGACAGGTTTAGCTTACCTGTGTACTCAACTGTACCAACAATAATTGACGGCATAGTTTCTAAAGTTATTGTTATATGTGATAGTAATGATTTATATGTAATTCATGCTGGGTCAAATGACCCCTTAAAAATTTCCAATGGACTTGTAGTATATTAGCGTTTTCGGTTCCTTTTTTCAACACACTCACCTCAGTGTCCGAATTGAGTATTACTCAAATACAAAGTATTCATGAGTGGCATTCAATACAATATTTGTGTAATTGGTATTCAAGTAGGTACTGAATACTTTTATTCGACAGTATTCAGTATTCATTTACCACTCATATATGTATTTAGAATTCAATATTTGCAAATAGAATTCGTTAGTGAAAGGTACCTGTCCAACTGTCAAGGTTGAATTTCTTTGTCTAATAACAATTGCTCCATTTCATATGTTTTAGCTTGCACATTATGACATGCTGCAATGTCAATTATTAATATGGCAGAAATTTTGGTATAAGTTTCGTTTGAAACCATTTTTTGTAATTCGTGAGTGAGTCGTGAGTATTCAGTAAATCGTAGATACTCAACTGTACTCAACCTCTATAGGTTAAGAAAATAGGAAAATCATACAAAGAATATAGAAAACGTTACATTTATTCGCGCTTATACAAAAACAATAATATGATATACAGCCTGCCTTTTCTCAGAAAAGAAAAAAAATATTTACAAAAGATTCAAGAAATAGTCACCTAAAGCTAAAAAAAAATAAAAAAATTACTGGGCGTAAGTGATTCCTGCTCGGAGGTACTTAGCACCTTGGGGCACCGAGTAATACTGGGGTTGAGCACCTGGCTGAGAATAGGAAATTTGGGGTGCGGAATGGGCAGCGGTTTCATAAGCTTGAGAGGAACCTTGTGGTGCACTGTAAGCGACCTGCTGTGGAGAACCCACATAATTCACTTGTGCGGAAGGCTTTTGCAAGGCTTGGATGGCTTGGTAGCTAGGGGCTGAGGAATAGGAAAGCTTCTGAGCTACAGGAGATGAAGTTTGGAAGGTAATAGCATGAGCCTGAGACTGTTGCTGTTGAGATTGAGCTTTAGCTTGGGCCTGGGCTTCAGCCAAAGCTTGTGCTTGTGCTGCTTGGGCCTGAGCTTGAGCATAAGCTTGGGCTTGTGCTTGGGCTTGGTACTGAGCTTGAGGAGATTCAGAATATGCAGCTTTCTGAGCTACGCCTTGGTAAGCGTTTGAAATGTCATAGGTGTTTTGGGGTGCTGAATATTGGCTTGGGGAAGAAGTATATTGTACTTTTGGCCTTGGAGCTGCTGAGTAAACCTGTTGCTGTTGCTGTTGTTGTGGTTGTTGCTGTTGAGCACCAGCTCCTTTTCCAATGATCTGATGAAGGAAGCCTAGGTTGTTGTAAGACACTACAGGGCTCGAGTAGCTGAAGGAGGAAACGTCAGCAGCAGAAGAGTATTGTTGAGGTTCAGGTTGCGATGCGAAGGAGTACTGCAAAAACAAATAGAAATTAATAATTGTCCCGCATGCATAGAAGCTAGTAAATACTTTTACTCATAGTGACTCACAACCAGAAGTTATTAGTCTCTTTACAAATTACCAAAGTCTGCCCTATATATCATTTACAGTAAGTGCGAAACGGTTCTAAATTATTTTATTTGAAATATTAGAATACTGACGTGTATAAAGCTTATCACCATTATAAAATTCTTTTTTTGGCGAAAGAAATGACAGATTAAGTAAAAGAAAAATTACTTTCCAATATTTATATTTTTCTTTGATTCGTGTAAATAATTCCTTAAATCTTAAGATAAATTTTGTAAATTATTACGTATAAAAAATATCAACATAGTACGATAAAAGAATTACAATAGTCCACCACGAGTCGTTAGAGAATAATTTACTTTCGTATCATAGTCCGGTGCTTCCCAGACTTTATAAGGTTGTCCATACGTATCTCTAACCGTTTTCCAGAAAAATCAGGTTCTTTTCCAAAGTCCGAAAAAGTAGCTATGTAACAGCGTCAAGAAGGCCTTGCAATTGTATTAGTACAACGTCGATACATAGGATTTTACGAAAGCACAGCACAGCACATCCTTATCGCATGCAATTACACCAAGAGTTACTAAAAGTAGACTTTCAACGGAGACTGGAGTTTTGTCAGTGGGCACTTGAGATGTTAAATCAAGATGATGATTTTTTTGATGGTCATTTTCTTTGATGAGGCTACTTTTCATAAAAATGGTTTCATTAATAGTCATAATTGCTATTATTATGACACAGTAAATCCTCACCAATTCCAGACAACTCATAGCCAATGATGGTCTTTGAACGTGTGGGGAGCAATTTTGGGACCCATCTCATTGGACCATTCTTTTTTGACCAGCATCTAACTGAAGCAGTTTAGGTATTTAAACTTTTTAACAAACACTCTAGAAGATTTGTTAGGCGACATTCCTTTAGCTACACTTCGAAGAATGTGGATGCAACATGATGGTGCTCCACCTCACAGTACTGCTGCGGTTCGTCAGTGTTTACACGAAACTTTTCCCAACAGATAGATTGGGTTTGGGGGACCAGTGAGTTGGTCTTCAAGCTGTCCAGATTTAACAAGTTGCGACTTCTTTTTATGAGGTTTTATAAAAAGCAAAGTTTACGTTACACCACCAACTACCGCGGAAGATATGTGGCAGCGCATTACAGTAGCATTCCAAGAAATTACGCCAGACATGCTAACCAATCAGTCTTTTAAAAACCGAATTGGTTTGTGTATTAATGAAAATGGAGGACACTTCGAGCAATTGATGTAAATCAGCGGTCTAAGTATTATTTTCCTTGTTGTGTTCAGGTTTTAGTTTGCTTCGTTTTGCGTTTTGTTTTAGTTGTTGTTAGTGGTTTACTTTTGCTTGTCAACTTTTTAAACATGCCAGTAAATATTAACACCGTCAGTCCCAGTTTTGATGAAATGTGAGAGAAAGGTGGTTTTGCAAGGCCTTCTTGATGCTGTTACATAGCTACTTTTTCGAACTTTAGAAAAGAACCTGATTTTTCTGGAAAACTGTTAAGATAGATGCATGCTAATATTTTGTAAACCTTTAACAATCCCCTGCGACCTCTTTTGCTGTATTCGAGAATCATAAATGTATTGTTGTGGAAGGTTGTCATTCGGTGAGTGGCCATGAATATCAGGTCTGCAGTTGTTGAGGAAAGATTTGAAACTGTCAGAAATACTCGTATTTGACCATTGGTGTCCTTAAACTCTAATAGCACGTGACAACTTAACTAACATAGCATATCTGATAGTTTGAAAACAGTTTGATTGCTGCAAAAACAAACCTATCATTGCCAGTTTTCGATTGGCAAATCTATATAGTTTATTAACTAAATATTACAGTCTTATATTTAATCATAACTGAATTTGCAATACTTATTTTGGCCACAGGATTATTCCCATTTTATTTGTGTTTAATTTAAAATAATTTTTAATTCATATCGTTCTACTGATTATACATATCTATCACCACTGACGTGACGTCATCCGCGAAGCGGACCATTTATATTCGGTACTTTCAAACCAAACTAACCGAACTTATGTGTACCAGTTTGATATTCGATTGAAAAATAACTCTGTATTTTGCCCTAGTTAATTAAAAGTTTGGCTATACTGCTTAGAACTCCCAAACTTCCCCGGTATTTTACTGGGGCATATGAAGAAGCTAGCGTCCGTCCTTATTCCAACCCCAAAGAAAACACCAACTTCTGCAAATTAGTAGTTTACTTTCTGTAGCTCTAATTCCCCTAAACTCCGTTACGTAAATCACCAAGGGGCGTTCCCTCGGAACAATACCTCGCTCAAAGTAAGAAGTTAAACATTGAAAATTCCAATTTCACGAAGCCCGAAAGTATGCGAGTTACAGACGCTCCAGGCAATAAAAGGACACCTCTTTGACTTGGAATGTCATCACGCGTACAGCTTTTGTTTCGCAGCTGAACAAAGGAATCGGGGTAATGATGCAAGGTAACCAGGATGAAACTACAGAGCGGCGTCTTATACTTAGCAAATGCATAAAGTAATTTTTTATTCTAAGTACGGATTTTGTATTCAAGAACGATGAATTTTTTTTATTTTTCGACTTCGAAAACTATGTTTTAGAGAATAATTTTTTAAAAACTACAGAGAGTTATTAAAATTGACAAAGATGAGGGTAAAGAAAGTATGAAATGTCCAAGTGATGAAAAATATTTGCTTCTTTATATATCTAAAGCCGCAAAAAGTGCAGTCTCACAGTAGTAGGTAGCATTATTATTACACAGAGAAACAGTATTGTAGGTAGGTAATTCATATTTCTCTATGCCAGGGCTCATTAGTTTTTCTAAGTATAAATTTTTTTTTAATTTTTAATAAGAGAGGTTATCAGGAAATTCCCTGAGAGCAATAAACTACATTAGATCGAAAATGTGCTAATAGTAAATGTGTCTTTTTAGAAATGGAACACTTCAACGTTTATTTAGTTCTGACAACATTTTCAAAATCATTGAACAAATTAAATTGAAAATTTAAGAATGTGAATATATGTTTTTTGGTAGAGTATTTCAACAACAAAATAGATTTTAGGCTCATTCAAACCCGTTAATTATGAGTGAAAATAATACGCTACATTGAAGCCAAAAAAACAAACAATTCCGCAATAAAACCAACTTGTCATTGAATTATATTGTAACACATATATGCAAATTATTTTAGGAATAAATAAAAACTTGAAATATTATCAAATCAAGAGATAGAGTCTTAAAATTAGCTATTTTATCTACAATTAAAATACTTCTGCCAAATCCTCATTTGCCCGTTTTTGGCAATTTACCTCACTCAATATGTAGCATAAATAACAATGATTTTAAAAGAAAGGATAGTAATTTTGAAAATCTAAAAATGTACCAAAGATTTTACTTTTATTTAAAAAATGGTGCTATGACACTAAACTCAATATTTGCATGAAAAATTTATTTTATCAAATTAAAAAAAAAATAGTAACAAATAAAAATATGACGTTTTAACCAGACTGTGATAATTTCTGGTTGTTAACTCTAATTTTAAATGGAAGGCATAACAAGTTCAATATGTGCACAAAATATCATTCACGCTTTTGGCTAATAGTAACAGAAAACAATCTTCAGAGTTCAATTTTGAATACCTCGCATATTGAAAACCAAGCATTTTATACGAAGCTTTCTTCATAAAATCTCCTTAGCAACCTCCCTTAAAATATCTACATGTTATTTTGGAACACCGTCTATAAACTATAGAACTGGATAAATGTCAACCATTCTATGACCAGCAGGCTAAGCTAAATGTCATTGTTAACACTTCATAAATTATTACAATACTAAATAAACTAAAAATCCCAAAATCTTAGTGTCACCAATATAAGTGATTCGCTTACAATGAACAATGACAACCCGCAACAAACTGACATTGTTGAAATTGTACACATCGAATCTGACCCTTGTTTACTATTTATATAGATGCTATAGAAATGAACAAATTCAAATTAACTTATTTTTACAAGGATTTAGAAGTATTTAAGAAGGGCCAACACATGTTTCGTAAAATAGATGCACCAATGAAAGAATATCATTAAATGTAAATAAAGCAAAAATTTTACATTATCCATGTTATTCCTAATGCTCTGGAAGAATAACCTCATATGCAGGTGAGATCTTGTTGATATGTCATCGCTGTCATTATTAGCGTTTTTTCTCTTCTTTTGTTTAATCTTGACATTTTCTAGTTCTGCTAAGTATTTTTGTTGTTTTTCTTGGTGTTGTTCCGAGTCAGTCTGTTTATTGAGTGTTTTTTTTCAAGTGATTTATTATAGACGTACTCTTAACCAAAACCAAACTTTCCTAGAATGATATCCTGTTGCGAGACTACTTCACTTACATGAAATTAACTTGAATGCGCTTGCTCAGTAACATTAATATAATTTTAGTTTATTAATTACTGTAAAAGTTAATATTGCTCTATAAATTTAAAAATATAAATTCTATAATTCTTTTAGTTTGTCACTTGTGGTTTGAAACTGCTTAAATATATATATTACCAGAATATCGCGATATCAGGACAAAGAAAACATTTTTTTGGCACTTATGTCCGATCGATCTATTAAAAATACTGAGAAATTCTTTATGACAATGTATACATGGGGTTGCCTACTAAAAAGCTCTATTGGTATAATGAATATATGAAAAATTATAGTAGCCACAAATAAGAAGTGGATCTTATTTGTGGAAGGGCGAAATAGGCGGTGACTATTAGACGTCTTCATTATAGCCATCTTTCTCTATCGCACGGATTTCTATGACTTTCTTTATCGATCTCACGTAACGGCCGATGAACCATGGGGACTTTCCGACCCTGTAGATAGCTAAGGCGTTGCCCCACCATTACATGCACAAACCGGTTTGTGCTTGAAGCTTAAGCGACAAATTTT